TTTTGAACTTGTTCATTTTGGAAAACTTTCGGATTTGGTTTACGATGAAAAACCCTACTTGATATACGATTGAGTATGATCTGATGTTAAATTTATCGATTTGTGGTTAATGAAAACCGTTGAAAAATCGGGTAATGAATCCCCGTAGTTCAGTTATGATTTGAACTGTATTTATGAAAGGAATGAGTAACGTCAAAAATTTATGATTCGAAAAATAAGTTTCGAAAATTTTTACCTTGATTTTTGGAAAAGCTATGGATTTTCTTTAAAAATCGATCGGGGCGTTACAGCACCAAATACACGTCAAGCATTATCATGAAATAACCTCAACTCGAAATCACGACCCGCATTTTTTTTTGAATCAAATAATTTATCCACAAATAAATCAAAGATCTCCACGAATAAATCAGATAATATCTTCTCGAACAAATCAGATAATATCTCCTCGAACAAATCAAATATCTCCACGAATAAACCGAATAATATCTCCTCGAACAATTTAAATAGTGCTCCATAAATAACTCCAATATTACTCCACAAGTAAATCAAATAATGCTCCACAAATAAATCAAATATAATCACGAACAAATCAAATATATCCCCGATGAAATCAAATATATCCACGACCAAATCAAAGATATCCACCACCAAATCAAATATATCCGCTGCCAAATCAAATATATCCACCACCAAGTCAAATATATCTGCGGCCAAATCATTTCTCAACTTTCACCAATTTAAAAATCCTCAAATCTCCAAATTTTTCATTTTCAATCAAACAATTTCTCCAATTTCACCAATTTAAAAATCCCTCGAGCCCATAATTTAAATTAATTTCATACCTTAATGATGAGAATGTTATCTCAAATTAGCTCACCGTCCGCCTCGTATCGTTTCGGACTCACCATGAGCTCACCTTGACTCCCGGACACTTGTTGGACTATCTGCAGGTCAATTTGGAAGGCCTAGGGGCGCTGTACAATCGTTAGACCAAGCTATACGCTTGTTGGGCTCTCAATGGGCTGCATACGGACTCCTAGGTTGTGGGTTGAGAGTTGGGTCGTCACACTGGCCTGGTAGAAGGCTGAAACTGGCGCTGGCTGATGGTTGGGCTCGTGGGCCAGATGCAGTGAGATGAGCGGGCTGAGCCTGGGCCGCACGCGGGCCACACGCGGGCCGCATGCGGGCTAAGACTGTGAGGGCTGCGGGCCGTCGCGGGCTGGGGATGGCCAGCGAATTTTTTCTCTCCTCTTGCGCGAACTGGGCTGGGGGTGCAGATGTTGCGCCCTTCCTGTTGGGCCACTCGGGCTGAACGCTTGACCTCCTCGTGGGCCAAGCAGCGGGCTGTTGGAGTACAAATTCGGGCCTCCCTTGCTGGGCCACGGGTTGCTGGGGGTGGGAACATCGGCGGCTGCAACTTTGCTGGAAATACATGGCCGGAAAAAGACGCCGACTCCGACAAATGCCACCGAACGTAGGTGCGCCCCGGCGAGGGCGTTTCGATGGTGTCCTAGATTAAGAGTGGTTCACCGGAAATATGAAGAAGATGACCGGAGGTTGACCAATAATCTCCTAGATCCAATAACTTTGACCTGCAAATCGACGGCCTTCTTGGAGGAATTTTCGCATGAAATTTTAAGGGGAGAACGAGCGAGAGAAGAGCTTCACGATGATGTAGATGTTTTTCCAATCGGAGGTTTTTCCGCGGTGGCCGACAGCGGCGGCGGACGGCGGCGTCCGGCGGAGGTGACAATCTAGAAACTTGCCTCGACGAGAGGATTCCAATGGTGCTCCCGGATTTTCCATAGCCCTCACGTATCGCCAGAAAAACGCCTTTGAAGGTCGAATGTTGACCAAAATTCACTAGATCCGGAATGTTTGACCGGCGAAATCGATGGCCTTCCCGGATCATTTTCGAATGGGATTCTAAGGAGAGATTCACCTCGACGAGATCTACCCATTGACGTAAACATTTTTACGACCCGAGCACGTTGGTCGACTGAGTAGAAGGAGGATTTTCATAATTTTTCAATCGGAACTCCGTTTGGATTTTTCCCCAGGTCCTACAGACGGCACCAATGAAGTGAATAAGATTTCACTCGGGCTCCTTCAACTGGATCGGCCACCGTACCTGCAAGAACCCAACGCCGGGAGGGGTCCCGGCGTCGGGCCTCCGACGCTCAAGTCAGAATCACTCCAAAACTCCAAATCTCAAGTGTATAATTATGAATGTAGAAAGAATGAGAGAATGAGATACCTTAGCCCCCTTTAATAGGGGGAGTGTACCTTATGGCTCAAGTTGGGCTTGTCTAATAGCATCATGCCACGTGTCCTGGGCATGTGTAGGTTTATTCTTCAATATATTCCTTTTTTATCCATTAAACCCGGTCTGGTACAGTATCCTATATCATCTAGTCCCCCCCACTCTGGTCGTGTAAACATGACTCGATCCAAGAGTGAAATGCCTTTTCGGGCTGTTTCCGTCAACCTGCCACTGAGGCTATAATTTGAATAAATCATCGACCACCACATAGTCAGTAAATCTCCAAATGAGCATCAGGACCCCAAATGAACACCGGAAGACCTACTACTGAGGTCGAAAAACGAGTGACCCGCCACTGGGGTCGAACACCAAAAGCCGAACGACCACTAAGGTCGAAAAACGAGTGACCCGCCACTGGGGTCGAACACTAAAAGCCGAACGACCACCGAGGTCAAAAACCGAGTGACCTGCCACTGGGGTCGAACACCAAAAGCCGGACGACTACTTAGGTCGAAAACCGAGTTACCCGCCGATGGGGTCGAACACCAAAAGCCGAACGACCACTTAGGTCGAAAACCGAGTGACCCGCCGCTGGGGTCGAACACCAAAAGCTGAACGACCACTGAGGTCGAAAACCGAGAGACCCGCCACTGGGATCGAACACCGAAAACAGAACAACCACTGAGGTCGAAAACCGAGTGTCCCTCCACTGGGGTCGAACCTTGATTCCTAGAGCAGATTTCTATGCACCTTATTTGGCAATGTCGACTCTCCTTTGCTATCTCCCGATCTGCTTACTTTGGTAGATTTCCTCGATCAATCCCCGAAGTCTTGAATTTGAAAATTTGACCTCACGTCTATTGTTTCTCGACCATCATGTTTGAGCTCTCTTCATTCAAAGATAAATTTTTTCTACCACCTCGTCCTATCATCAGGTACGGTTCCGGAGATCGAATTTTAGTGATCTCCGAATACCCATGCTCACCCCTAGCAGAGGAGTGATACCCTAGTCGGGTATCACGAAAGAGCGTGTGGGAGAAGCGGGAGTCCAGAGGGAAAAACCATNATACAATGTTTGGTACATTTATCGCATCTCATAATAATTAGAAGAAGAAGAAAAAGAAAAAAAAAAAAATTGCTATATATACACGTCATCACTGACAAGTAATTTGAGAAAAAATAAATAAAGAAAGAAAACAATTCGGTCTCACCAAGAAAAGTAACACATTGTAGGTTTATTTATTTTAATTAACAAATTAATACAATATACATCCTAAATATTTTTTATCAGTTATGCATTAGAATTCAAATTTTTCATAATAATCAAACAACTTTAATTTAGCAATTGCCAAAAAAATAAATCACTTCTATAATCAAAAGATGTTTCTAATTTGCATCTAAGGCATTATAATTTATTTAGCATACTAGCAGTGGAAATATATTTTACACGTATTTCATTATGTAAAGAAATCAAAATAAAAGAATGATAAAAAAATTTAATCATGTTTGACAGTGATATACAAATAAGCTAAAATTTTAAAGAATAATTAGTATATTTTAATTTTATTATTTGGACATTAGTAAAACTATATATTTGGTCATTAACTCTTAAATCGTAAATGATTTTAATTTGAAAAATAATTATTTTTTATATAATTAAATAAAGCATATGATAAATTATATTGACAAAGATTAATTCACCAACTTGATTTTCGCATGATTAGTTAGAAGAAAAAAATTTCCCAACATGTTACGATTTTCTATGAACATTTTAAGATGAAAAGTCAATATTTTTTTAAAAATATAATAATAATATGGTTAAAAATTTTTTCAAGTTTATCTTGATTAAAATATCATCAACATGAATCACCAAAGATCAATTTATAGTTTATTATATGAATATCAATGAAATTATTGCAAATGTTAGTAAAATTGTTCAAGAAAATAATATTTTTGACCATCTCGGATTTGTTCGGATTTGAAAACATGTATATGCCAATATTCTCATAATTTTTTTGTTATTGTTCTTAATAAATCTTGTTCTCTTATAGATAGATACATTATTATTATTGAAGTCTTATCCATGGACTATAATTAAAAAAACAAACAGCTCAATGTGGTGTATTGTGTCAAATGGATAGAGTAGGAAAACATGTTAAAATATTATCAAGCACAACACCAAAATGTAACCAAACAGACACTGACAATGATAAGTTAGAACAACCCCAAGACTGCGTTACTCTGGCATTTTACGTTAAGAGTTTTTACAAAAATGTCGTCCAACATTGCGCTACCTCTCTACACTACTTAAAGTTATGATGATATTGCGCTACATACGGCACGATACTATCATTATTCTACAATTTTCATTTATTTTTTTATTAATTTTATATTTTATGTATTTTATTTTGCTTAAAATTTATTATTTGACAAAGTTTGTACCAATAAATTTATAATTTAATTTTAGAATTATATGAAAATATTTTTTTAAAAAAATACATATTTATATTGAATTACTATAAAATGAAACAAATAATATACAAAAATAATAATTCCTTGTCAAAAATATTTCAAACTAGTAGTAGACCAACTAACATCGTAAAAATATTTATTTTATAAAATAATATGTCCAATTAAATAATTTTTTGGCATGTTAAATAAAATAGTATGAATAATACAAGAACATTTGAAAACCAAACTTGATTTTTGTCTCACTCTACTCTATAATAGAATAAACTCTACACTAAAGTAGAGATAAGAATTGGAAATGGTCTTAAACTCTAATTAAACGATGGAGATCGATAATGCATGATTATCCAGCAACTTAGGTTAAATTTGATTTTAAGATAATAATTATCTGAGGGATTATATGAATAAAACATAATCTTAACAGGAACGCAATCTATGGTACCAGTTGAGAGAATGAATGAAATAGTGTCACTTGAAGTTGAACTACTGGACATATAACATTATATTTCCTTGGTCATGATACACATTTACATAGAGTTTTATCAAACTAGTGCATACTGAGACTAAAAGTATCACATGTTTGCTGTTGTTTCTCTTATCTCTTCCAACGAAATGGTCTGCACAGAATTAAGGAACTCAAAATATGAAAGCAATAAAGAATAATCAAAACTTTGGATATTTTTCACACCCTAACTAACAACAGGCATAATAACTTTAACATTTCTCCTTTAAAAAAACTCTAATTAGCTTTTCAATAAAAGAACTCTGGTCACATGTTTTGATAATGTTCATACTGAGGGTAATTTGCAAAGCAAAACATAAAGCTCTCAATGGCTATTTGTAATAGCTAACGAGATTTTATTTATTTATTGTTTTTCAATTAAGCTTAAACTCAAGTGTTGGTTTTAGCCACTCCACTAATTTCAATGAAAAAGGATGTCTTAGAATTGTAAAAAGCCGAAGTGTAATATGCTTGCCACTCCATTAGAGAGCAATTGAAGATTTTCATAGCCTTTTCCTAGAAACAACAAAATATTATTACATACCTGATCCTGGCCAGCGAAATCATTCTCAGGAGTAAGGAAAAGCATGCAGTGACACTCCTTTCTGCCAGGAAATAATACAAATATGATATATGAAACACAATGACCAAAGCAAAAGCTACCATAGAAACTAAGGCCAATTTAGCATTCTGAAACCAATTAAAGTATGGGTCTCATCAGCCAAGGGAGATTTGTTTTAACGTCAAGATCAGTTGTACTCATGATCACAGTATGAAATAAAGCACACCAAAACCCTTAATGCAACTGACGATCAAACACCTTAGAGGTTCACATATTTCTATAGTGAAGAATTTAAACAATCCTGGTCACCAAGATTTCTGGGAAATCAACACCATATTAGTAGTTCATTTCTAAATGATATCCTAGCAGCTTTTAGTATATCAATAAAACTTAAACACAAGCCATATAATATTTCGACTTGCAACACATGATAGTCATTAACACATGTATAGCCGGCGATAAACCTCAGAATTGTATATCACCTTTCTCTCATAGGAACACAGGGACAGTTCCAAAATCCCTGTTGTGCCTCAGCAGCTTTATCATCATAGTGCCTGAAACAAGTTATATAAGCTTATCTATAGCAACACATTGAACTGTAGAGAATATGACATTAGAAACGAAACTTGGAAAATGTGAATACATACCTACAAGGGCAGAGGGGTGCACCTAATGAATCCTTGTGTTCTGCTAATCCCTATAATCACGAGGAAGCAAGATTATTCCAAGTGCTTAAAGATAATCCCCAACCATCGAGAAGAAATGAGCAGGCGTCAAAGGATTATTATTGGAGATTTCAAGATCTTTCAGCTTATTCTGACATCAAATCACATGCTCACATCTGGCAAACATTATTAAACAACTCACTAAAATGAGGAATCATAGATGTCGAGATTTTAACAAGACTAGAACAAATGCCGTTTATCTTATTCTTTCCCCAACTATGAACTCCACAACCTAGCAAAAGTATGGACCGAATTTTCAATAACAATTTCCAGCGAAAATCTGGATCTATACACCTAATCGTACATTCTTTAACAATGAGAAGTTAAAAAGTGCTACTGACTATTAATTACCAACCCAGCTTCAAACAGATTAGGGTGGAATCACTAGTCTGCTAGCTAGTTCCATTTTTATTCTTTTCTCCAACCAGGAATGCACAAATTACTTTTAGTTTCATAAAAAATAACAGAGCAATCGGATGAATTAATACCTTGATGACAACAGAGGTGACACTTTTATCGACACAGAAATACGTGTCGGACTTGCGTGCGTACTGCTCCGAGAATTTTCTCATTATCTCCACCGATTTCTCAGTAGGTTCACCTAAAAATGCGCCAAATCAAACCCTTATGAGTCATCTTTCATGCCAAACTGGGGAGAAATATCCAGAATAAGAAAATTAAGCTTGGATTACCTTTAGCCGAAATGAGGTGGCGGCGGCGCCAAGGCGACGGCGGCCGAGCGCCATATGAAATGCCGAAGGCGAGGCTGTAAGAGGTGGAAACATGAAGAGCTCTCATGGCAGAAATGGTTTACAAATTTTTATATTGATCTGTTTTCGTGCAGCTCTACTCTATAGATGATTTATCGACAGATTTTTGTTTAATTTATATTTTGAAGGTGTAGATGAAAAACTTCAAGGTGAAGAGCAGCACCACCACTCGTTATTATTTAATAAAATAAATAAATATCTGAGGTCAAAATTACAGGATAAGATAGTTCATTCTGTCTNATTCACTAAACGCAAACAAGTGATTACAACCAATTAAATAGTAAAAAAAAAAGAGGCCTAATCAAAGTAACCTAAATATCACAAACTAACACAAAAAGAAATTAAAAAAACTCTCACTTGTGTGAGTGTGTATACTGAAAGTTTGGCTTTAGATGTGATTCACACTATTTATGTTGAATGAGAATTCTTATTTGATTAAATAAAGTTTTATGTTTTATTGTTTTGTATTTAGATAAATGGTTCGTCACGGATGGACAGAAGATTGTTACTTGCGAAACATAAACAATTGATTCACAACCTGGATGGAAATTGAACAATCCATTGGAATGGTTGTAGTGTTAGCGGTACAGTTGATCTTGACTGATTAGTCACACTAGTATACATAGGTGTATTGACTGGATCCCAGAGAGGAGCCTTTCATTTTATATCGATCGGCTAAACTAGGTCTCGACTACTTACTGTGTTCTCTTAACCAGTAAGATATAAACAAACACACTGTTGTTGTATGAAATTAACAACTTGAAATTACAAACAGTTGAGTGTGTTTAAACAAAAATTAAGGTAAAGTTGAATTTTATTAATATATTCACAAGAGTACAGGAAGTCGATTTTTTCGTTCTTAACCGAGATCATTTTAAGCCCATGTACAATGTGTTGAAAAAAGAAGAAGAAGATCCTCGTACTATCATAAATTCTGCTATTTATAGTATGGTAGTTTTTATTTTTTTGTCTGAGGTAGATAAGATCGTATTTAATGTCGAGCAGCTTCAATTAAGCGGTGTGTAGTAGAATGAGGGAACATCAATGATTGCTGTTTGCTTTGATGGTCCAATCAAATGTGTACAGCTCCTTTTGCTTAAAAACTCGATCTTCTCGGATGTCGGATGAGTAAATAATCTTTTATAGACATATTGGTGAAGTCGGTTGTCGGCTTCTTATTTAATGGTCTCTTCGTCGATCGCCTTGATGTCGGTTTTTCCATCTGGAAGTCGGTGACCAACATATCTGACTTGCGCCGAGTTGAACTAAGTTATAACCATTTCTAGAGAATTCTTAATCGGATAAAATAATTACTTTTTAGCTCTAATCTTATCCAACCAAGTCGGTTATCAACAGAGAGGCCCCCGACATTAGTAGATATTTGAACTTTCGTCGTTTAAATGGCTGCTGATGTCGTTTTTGTCCTTATAATTCCGACTTGGTTTTTTCCAACTTTTCTTCACTTTGTAACCGACATGGGAGCACTTGGTCTATTTTCAACTTTGTCCGTGATAATTACATAACGTTTGGATTGACGTGGCAGTTCTCAAAAGACGCGTCCGCATTTAATGGGTCCAACGGATAGAACTATTGAATGAGATGGCGTTTCAGGATTTGCCCACGTCTGTTAATCATTACCGTAACGTTGCACAGCTTAATGACACGTCCATTACACGCGCCAATATCTGGTTTTGCCAACGGTAACAAATCAAAACCTATAAATGGTTGTCGGTTTTGACTGCAAAGGGTTTCTTCACCTTTAATCTTCGAATTCTTTGCTTTCATCTTTCTATTCATACTCCTCTGAATTACTTTTTCTGTTCTCATTTCGTGCAGTCTGCGTGATTTCTCCATTTCTTCTTCAGTTTAGTGCGCTTTAAATCTTCGGTAAGGCTTTGCCCTAATTTTCCTTTTCGCACTCAACCCGTTTCAAACTTGTTTTTATTTTCCCGTTAATTTTAGAAAAATGAATTCTCGTGTCGAAGATAGCAGTAGCCGTACAATTTCTGAGGTTAGGATTTTTACCGACGAGGATTTGGAATTGCATCTCGAATATTACCGATGGGATTCCCTTCTGGTTCGAAGGTTAAACTTGAATAGGGACATAATCGAAGAAGACAAGATAGTTAAGGATAGCGCAATGTCTCTACCAGATTATTGGAGGCGTCCGGCGCGTCGGTGGCCTGAGGCAATTGATGAGTATAGAGGTGAACCGAGTATTTTAACCGATGCCGACATTGTTATACTTCGGGGGGAGGTTTATATTCCTTCCTCGGTAAAATTGTTCGCTCCATATCCGGGTGAAAGGATAACTTGCCCCCCACCAGGCTGCGTGAGTGTTTTTGCTGACTCGTTGAGATCGGGGTTAAGATTTCCACTCCCTGCTCTGATTACTGACTATCTGAGAGACTGGGGTTTCGGCCTATGTCAAATAGCGCCGAATTCATGGAAAAGAATCATCGGCCTCATGGTATTGTTAAAGGAAAGAGGTTGGGAGATGCCAACGACCGAAGAAATAAGAAGCCTCTTTACATTTAGACGATGCGCCGACAGGCAGGTGGCCGACCCCTTGATCTGCTATGCTTGCGCAGGGAGACCTCAAGGCGGATTAAAAATTGGTGATTTAATCACCGAAGTCCCAGATTCTCTCCATGGATTTCAAGAAGAATGGTTTTGGGTCGACGGAGATTGGCAAACTCCAAATTTCTCTAAACCTTTAATTGATGGGATGTCAATACCCATGAACATTAATTCTGCATTTTGTAAGTTTTTCCTTCATTTCTTGTACCGAGTTGTTCTGACCTTGACTTTTGTACTAACAGGTCAACAATTTTACTATTTGCAGCCAGAAGAAAGGAGGTGAAGCTCAGTGCAGAATTGAAAGGAAGGATTTCGGAACTTTTTAAATTGAAGAGAGGACAGCGCAACTTCAAGCTAATTTTAAAGGATACGAGGTTAAAAGCTGCTGGCCTTTGTCCTGAGATCTCGGACGCTTGTTTCCAACCCGGTACGTTTAACTCATAAATCTTCATTTGGCTTAAAGTCGGTTGCTCTTAGAATTTATTATAACTTGGATTTCTTTGCTTGCAGTGTACTACCCACTTCTTGGAGTCCTCGGATTCAAGACTATTCGTGACGCCCAAGCTTTTCGTCAGAAAAGTACCAATTTAGATCTCCGAACCAAGGTCGGAAAGAGCAAAGAACAACGTTTATCAGAAATGGGTCGCAAGAAGTTGGTGAAAGCTTTCCTGGACAACCCAATTATGAATCCGAAAGAGACCGACGTTGGTGAAGGTGCAACATCGGTTGCTGCTGCTGAAGTGTTGCAACCGAATCTTTTGACGGTTGCGGCATTCGATCCGATAGAGGCCACTACTGCTACCGCCGTGATCGGTTCATCTGAAGTAGAACCAACCATAGAAATTAGACAGCCTGAGGCTCCATCGACTATCGAAGTCGTTGTGATCGAGCCTGAGGATAACCGAGATGCTATTGAGGAACATGAGGTTCCACTAACCCGGCCAAAAAAGAGACGTGCAGAAGGCGTCCCAGTTGCCGAAGGAAGAACAAAGAAGAGACATGACGTCGGTGATCGAGAGAAGAAGAAGAAGGAGCCGATAGTTGATCGATCCTTCTTGCCCATTGATGAAGAGAGGGCTTTAAATTTTCGACAGCCTCGGGAATCGGTCGAGAAATGGTTCTCGACTTTCGAATCAGTGGAGATTCCCGAGATCACAAGCACTGTGGAGCTGCCGGGCCATGTGGTTGACGCTGCTCGGGTCCCGATGATGGTATGGGATCCGAGATCCGAGATCGGTGTGTCCTCTTTGCCGAGTGTATATAAGTTCAGATATGCAAAAGCTTGCCTCGGCCGAGCTCTTGTCAGTTTGACGATGGCAGAGGACGATTTCCGTTTGAATGCAGCTCAAGTAGAAGAAAAGAAGCATTCACTCGAACTCAGGGATGGGGCGCTTGCATCTCTGAGGGAGGAAGCGACTAAAAATGAGACTGCTTTGAAGATGAAAATTGCTGAGCAAGAGCAGCAGCTTGTTATTGCTCAGAGTGAGATCGAGACTCTGAGAACCGAGAAGGCTGGTCTCGACTCTGATGTACTTAAACTGTCCAGTCAAGTGATCACTTCGGAGCAGCGTGTAAAGATGCTCGAAGATCAATTAGCTCGTTGTGAGTCATTGCTTCACAAAGAACAAGAAGCCCACGAGATTACTCGGAGAAGTCGGTCTGAGGTCGAGGATTTGTTAAAGAAAGACCGGGATGCTCACCGCGCCAACCTCAGCAGACTTCAAGAAGAAAAGATAAAGTTTGCTGAGGAAAAATATAATGATGGTCTTCGAGCTGGGAGAATCCTTGAGGCAGAGGCCCACCGACTTCAGACTAAAGCAGAATCAGACTCCGAAGACGAAGATCGGGAATTTGAAATGAACACTTGCATCAACCTGCATTGGGTCATTGAGCGGTTCGATGCCGGCCTTTATGACATTGAGGAGCTGCGTCAATATCTCCTCTTTAAGGTCAAGAAGCACGACTGCGGTTCGAAAATCGAGACCGCTCATATCGATGCGGATGAGGATGAGAAGGAATTTTGTGAATGGCTTTTGAAGTCTGCTGACGAGAATTCGGAAATTCCTCGCCTTCCACCTTTGAGCAAGGAGAGGGATGCTTGCCTCCGCCGATCCTTTGTTAACATGCTTCTGGAAACAGAGAAGGAGAAAAGGACCGAGCTTGCCACCGTTTATGTGAAGACGTTGGCAGAAGTCAATATGGAGGAAGTGATTGAGAAGATGACCCCTGATCAAATTCGAAAAGCAGTTCTGGCTTTCCTTGAAAGGAAGATTCAGGAATTGTCTCAGGGTGTCGATCAGCCGGAAAAAACTGAAGTTACCGAGAAAGACTCTGCTGTTGATGAACATTTTCCGGTAACTCTCTCAGATGTGGAAAAGGCTGCTAAGGCAGAGGAAGACCGAGTGCTCGAGCATATTAGTAGACAAATGTTCGTGCAGATAACCGGTGAGGATGTGGAAGACTCACTGCGGGCTGATAAGGCAAAAGGAGCGACCAAGGGTGATGATGCTTGACTTTGTTTTGAATTTTTCTTCTTTCTTTTTTTTTTCTTTTTTCTTTTCTTTTTTTTTTTGAAGAGTATTCCCGGTATGTCGG